GACCTGTTGTTGGACCTTCAGAGAAACTGGTTGGCCACTGCGTGAGACGGGATGCTGGACCAGATGGACTCTCACTGGTTTGATCCAGCAGGGCTCTTCTGATGTTCTTATGAAAGCCTCAGCCTCTATGCCCTGTTGTTGGCCCTTCAGAGGAACTGGTTGGCCACTGTGTGAGATGGGATGCTGGACTAGATGGACCACTGGTCTGATCCAGCAGGGCTCTTCTAATGTTCTTATGAAGGCCTCAGCCTCTCTGCCCTGTTGTTAGCCCTCCAGAAGAACTGGTTGGCCACTGTGTGAGACGGGATGCTGGACCAGATGGACCTTCACTAGTCTGATCCAGCAGGGCTCTTCTGATGTTCTTATGAAGGCCTTGGTCTCTATTCCCTGTTGTTGGCCCTCCAGAGGAACTGGTTGGCCACTGTGTGAGACGGGATGCTGGACCAGATGGACCCTCACTAGTCTGATCCAGCAGGGCTCTTCTGATGTTCTTCTGAAGGCCTCGGCTTCTATGCCCTGTTGTTGGCCCTGCAGAGGAACTGGCTGGCCCCTGTGTGAGATGGGATGCTGGACTGGATGGACCCTCACTAGTCTGACCCAGCAGGGCTCTTCTGAGGTTCTTATGAAGGCCTCGGCCTCTCTGCCCTGTTGCTGGACCTCCAGAAGTGTTGGTTGGCCCCTGTGTGAGACAAGATGCTGGACTAGATGGTCCCTCACTAGTCTGATCCAGCAGGGCTCTTCTGATGTTCTTATGAAGGCCTTGGTCTCTATTCCCTGTTGTTGGCCCTCCAGAGGAACTGGTTGGCCACTGTTTGAGACAAGATGCTGGACTTAGATGGACCACTGGTATGATCCAGCAGGGATCTTCTGATGTTCCTATGAGGGCCTCGGCCTCTCTGCCCTGTTGTTGGACCTCCAGAGGAACTGGCTGGCCCCTGTGTGAGACAGGATGCTGGACTTAGAGGGACCCTCACTGGTCTGATCCAGCAGGGCTCTTCTGGTGCTCTCTGTGAGCCTGTGGGCACAGTTGGAAGCGCGGTGGGTGCAGCCACTTCATGGCTGCCATGAAACAGATGCCACAGGAGGCTCGGCCAGCCGCACCATGGCTGCCACAGCCTACCTTCAGCCACATAGTTAAGATCCTCGCGCTGTGGTGGGAGCTGCAGTTGAACCAACTTTTTTTAAAAAAAAATCTGCACAACCCATCAAATGACCAGCGGCCACTCAAAAGCGTTGCTGAACAAAAGCCCCGCCTCCCCCCCCTCTTGGTGGGCACTTGGAAAGGGGTCAGAGGGCACCGTGACACCCTCAGGCATCATTTTAGGGATCCTAAATCATTTCCCATGCTAGCAACTGCTTCAGCCTGGTGTTTAAAATCAAGTCCTGATTCGGGGCGGGGGGGGGGGGAAGTTGAGCGATCGGAAAGGAGCCTCTCGGAAGCTGGTGGTGCACTATCACGGAATGGCCTCCAGGTGGCAACAAAAGCCTGAGAATCTTGGCTTGGACGGGAGACCTGTTTGAGCAGGGGCATCGAACTAATTTGTTATGAGGGCCAGATCTGACATAAATGAGACCTTGTTGGGCCGGGCCATGTGTGTCATAAAGTGCAATACCAAACCTGCCTCCAGGGATTGTTATGAGAGTAAGATGGGGGAAGGGGGAACTAGTCACAGTGCTCTAAGCTCCTTGGAGGAAGAGCCGCGCTAAAATACATAAGAGAGATCAATTCAGCAAATGAAAATAATGAGCCAGCCCTACACATGTTTAGGGAAGCCAGCCTCCAGGTGGGACATAGGGATCTCCCGGAATTACAGGTCATTCCTAGACTACTCCGAACACTTCCCCCGGGGAAAAAGGGGGGGTGGGGGGGGGGGGGGGTTTGACTTTATGATATTGCATCCCACTGCGATCCCTGTCTTCCCCAGGCTCCATCCCAAAATCTCCAGGAGTTTCCCAACCTGGATCTGGCAACCCTGTGCCCCCCCCCCACCATCCCCAGCTGGGGGCCAGGGAAGACCCAACAACTCCACGTCTCTTCCAAACACTGCCCTTCATGGACCTGGGCTGCATGATCAATAGTCGTACACGTCTATCATTCCGCAGAACAGTAATACGGCTGTAGTTTATGGCACTATTTATAGTATGCATTATCTTTTTATTACTGTCCTGATTTCTAATTTCTAGAATCGATTTTTTTTCATTGCTTCTGTCATGTCTTACACTGCTTTGATGACCTTGTTTTCTAATTTCCTTGTAACCGGCCATTCCCCCCACCGCTACTGCTGGAGAGCTTACTCCTTTCCTCCCTTCAAATTAAAAGCAGCTATATCATTATATGGTAAAGATGCCGTCATTATGTAAAATGACCTTTGAGCGCTTCCTCAGAGTGGTGGTGGAAAGGGGGAGCTGGGGGGAAGGGAATCCCCTGCCCTGGTGGCTGGCCAACCTACTGTTAGGGATGCCAACCTCCAGGCAGGGCCTGGAGATCTCTTGGATTTGCAACTGATCTCTATACAACAGAGATCAGTTCCCCTGGAAAAAACATGGTGGGGTCCGTGACATTATATGCCACTGAGGACCCAACCTGACCCAAACCTCACTGTCCTCAGGCTCCACCCCAAAATATTCAGGAATTCCCCAACCCAGAGTTGGCAACCCTATCTACTGCCCAAACTGACCTTCCCTCACTGATGGTTTTGCTTGGACGGAAGTGCTCCCGCAAGTTTCCCTTACTTCTCTGGCCAAAGTTAGAAGCCAAAGGCTCCTTCCCATCTAGGGTTGGGAAATTCCTGGAGTGTGGGGGGAGGAACCTAGTGAGGGCACGGTTTGAGGAGGAATAATAAGACTTACCATATGGCATTGTGTGCAGAATAGCCAGGAGACCCTAAGATTGTCTGGCAGCTAGAAGTTCTAGCTCTTTTAGTGTTATACACCACTAGGTGGCGAGCTAAACTTGTTGGGGATTATTAGGAAGGGGATCAAAAATAAATCAGCCAGTATCCTAATATCCCTGTATAAATCGATAGTGCGACCTCATTTGGAATACTGTGTGCAATTCTGGTCACCGCACCTCAGAAAGGATATTATAGCATTGGAAAAAGTGCAGAAAAGGGCAACTCGAATGATAAAAGGGTTGGAACACTTTCCCTATGAAGAAAGGTTAAAGCACTTGGGGCTCTTTAGCTTGGAGAAACAACAACTGACGGGTGACAGGATCGAGGTTTATAAGATTATGCATGGGACAGAGCAGGTAGAGGTTTCTCCCTTTCTCACAATACAAGAACTCGTGGGCACTCCATGAAATTGCTGAGCAGTCCGTCCGAGTTTTCCTCTTAGGGTGCAACTCTCTACCTCACACTAAGGAAGCCGGAGCTCGGCCCGGGCTGCGTTCACCAGGCGCCCCCGTTAGCCGCCCCCCCAAACGTGCCGGCTTCTGCTGTTGCGTCCTGCCGCTGGGACGGAGGGGGCCGGGGGGGGGGAGCCTGGAGGCCCAGCTGCTATGTCCGCCCCCTCTCACCCACCCCCCGGACAAGGGGCAGCGCGGCAGAGCTCGTACGTGTCCCGTGTGTCCCTCCCTTTTGAGGCGTCATACGTTAGATCCTTCCATCGTGGAAGCGAGAGGTTTGAAAGGGATCCCCCCCCCCGATAGCCCAGAGTCTCCGGCACGGACGGTAGAGGCTCCCTCTTGTTCCAGCTGGGGCCTCTGCCGGGATTTCAGAACTTGAAAACTCCTTTCTGGTTGTGTTTGACCGATTTTTTGTTTTTGTTCCGTTTTCGTTCCGTTTTGTAAAAAACACAAAAATTATTTTGTACCTTTCGTTGGGAGATTTCAGCATTTCCGCCTTTGTGTCTTTTGATATTTGTTACAGACGAATTGGAGGTGACTTGCACCTGGGTCAGAAGGATTGTGTTTTTTCTATTAAAAGTGAGAGAAAAAAATCATTGTTGAAATTCACATGAGGTCTCCCATCCAAATACTATCCAGGGCTGACCCTGCTTAGCTTCAGAGATTTGACGAGATCAGGCTAGCCTGGGCTATCCAGGTCAGAGCATTTAAGGCCACAATCCAACACAGAACAAAGTTTGAGTCCAGTGGCACCTTTAAGACCAACGAAGTTTAACTCTGGGTATAAGCTTTCATTTGCCATCATCGCCTTGGGGACATCACTGTTTGGGGGCGGAGCCCTGCCCTGCTCCTGAAAGTCTCTCTCCCAGCCCCCGCCAGCACATCATGAAGACCAACCCTACCTGGAGGTTGGCAACCATACTCCCTTCACATCTATACAAACAGATTTGCTTAATTTCTCAGGGAGTGGGACCAGTCTCAGGGACAAGAAGATCTGAAGGACTTCCTCCTGCCAATAATCTACCCATGTTCTGAGATGGTAAGCAGAGGCCTTGCTCCTTATACTCCCACCTTCCGAAGTTAGGTGCTGGCTTCTTGCAACATGTTCTGAGATGGTAAGCAGAGGCCTTGCTCCATATACTCCCACCTTCCAAAGTTAGGTGCTGGCTTCTTGCAACAGAGGCTTTTCAGTTGCTGTGCACCAGTTATGGAATGCCCTCTGCCCCCCAGTACATCCACCTGGCACTTCACCGTCCTTCAGGTGCCAGGTGAGAGCAGTTTTATTTCCCCAACCTTTTGGAGGGGTATAATTATCACAGCGTTTTTGGCTTTTATCTTGGTGTGGATATGCTGCTAATGACAGGCTGCTTTGTTTTGTGTTTTATTCTTGTATTGTTTTAATTTTGTCTGTAAGACTACTTGGAGACCCAGCTGGATTTAGGTCCTTTAATTAAACATGAAGAAAGGAAGCTGCCTTATACTGGGAGATATTTTGTCCATCCAGTGCAGTGCTGCCTACTGGGATTGGCACCAGGTCTCCAGCATGTCGGGCAGAGATCCTGCACAGCCATACTCCCTTGGATCCTTTTTCCACTGAGCCACAGCCCCTCTTTACAGCTCTCCAGGGCCTCAGGCTGAGGTCTTTCCCATCACCTCCTGCCTGGTCCTTTTAACGGGAGATGCCGAGCCTTGAACATGCGACCTCCTGCATGCCAAGCAGGGGCTCTTCCACTGAGCCACAGCCCCTCTCCTAAATCCTGAATTTCATTTAAGCCTATAGATGGTGCTAGCCCTCGGTGTTTTCAGGCAGCCACTGGTCCTTACATCCATCACAGTCAGTATTGCCCACTCAGACTACTAGTGGTTCTCCAGGAATTTCTTAACCACTACACCAAACTGCCACCAAACTGGGGGTTGAAACGCAGACCTTCTGAATGCAGGACACACACTCTGTAATAAGGAGATGCAACGGTCCACTGAGCCACAGCCCCTCTTGACAGCTCTCCAGGGTCTCAGGCAGAGGTCTTTCAAATCATTTACTGCCTGGTCCTTTTAACGGGAGATGCCGGGGATTGAACTTGGGGCTTTTGGCATGTAAAAAGGATAGTCTACTGTTGAGCCATGAAACCCTGTCCACGAAGACAGGAAGGGGCTCTCTGCCTTACGCCGAAAGACCATTCATCTCTCAAGAGTGCCGATTGTTCTGACTGGCAGCTGCTCTCCAGCGTATACTCTGGAGATCGAACTGGGGCCCTTCTGCGGGCAAATCAGATTCTCTGTTGCTGAGCTTCCCCCCAACTTGGTTTTTCTCCCCCACCCCCAAAGCCAAAAAAATTGAAATTAGCATATGGCATTATGTGTCGAATAGCCAGGAGATCCTGAGGAGGGTTGTTTGGCTGCCGAAGCTGTCGCTCTTTTTTGGCACCACTAGGTGGCGGGCTGTGCTTATTTTTAGACGGAGAGTGTCACCTAAGGTCCCGAAAGCGATTCCGATTTATAGGATTTACAAGTCTGCCTCGTTACTCGATAGAATTGGCCAGAGTGCAACAGGAGCAGATGTCCTAATATCCCTTCACAGTGTGGGGGGGGGGGAGTTTTTGTGTCTTGTGTTGCCTCGGTCTCCCCATCGCAGTCAGAAGCGCCATTTCCTTTCCTCGAAGGTGTGAAGTGGGCTGGGAAAGTCATCTCTGGTGTGGACACCTGGCGAACAGGATTTACAAGGGCAATTTTTTTTAAAAAAACCCTTTCCATAAGTGGGTGTTGAAACCAGTCTTCCCTCTAAGCTGAGTTAGTGTGAGCTAGCGCATCGTTTTTTAGCCTCCAGCTCACACATTTTTGTCTCAGCTCAGGAAGGACGGCTCCAGAGCAGACTAATTTATGCAGTGACAAAAACCGAACCAAAGGGGGGGGGGAACTCAACCCAAAATGTAGCTGTGATCTAAGAGGGTCAAGCTAACAAACTGTTATAAAAATACAAACATTTATTATGGTGTACACATAAATAAAACATACATAAGGTTAAAAGAAACAGTCCAAACATCAGGTAAAGGTTCCCTTGCTCGAAAGCCAGTTGAATCTGACTCTAGGGTTGCAGTGCTCATCTCCGTTTCAAAGCCGAAGAGCCAGCGCTGTCCGAAGACATTTCCGTGGTCATGTGGCCGGCATGACTAAACACCAAGGCGCACGGAACGCTGTTACCTTCCCACTGAAGTGGTACTTATTTATCTACTTGCAATTTCTTGCTTTCGAACTGCTAGGTTGGCAGGAGCTGGAACTAGAGACGGGAGCTCACTCCGTCATGCAGCACCCGGGTCTTTTTTATAGAGCCAGGTGTTGCTTTCTCGTGTGCTCATAGTCTACTACCTTTGATGGAAGTGGCACACATCCTGACACATGGGATATTCGTTACCAGAATAATTTGGAGAATTTCTGCAGGACCCATTATACAAACCTTTAGCAACGGCAAAGCATATGAGAAAGCAACACCTGGCTCTATTAAAAAAAAATTATGCATTTATTTCTGGATGTGCGTTATTGTACAATAGGAATATTGACCACTGAGGAAGGCCCAAAGGGGCCGAAACACATATGGTCTATTGGTCAAAAGTTTTACCCATCAATTGGACATGTATAACTATCCGCACTGAATGTGATAAGCCTTAAGAGTCTGATATTTGGACTGTTTCTTTTAACCTTGTGCATGTTTTATTTATGTGTACACCATAATAAATATTTGTATTTTTATGCTTGTTAGCACAATTGATGCAGCGGCCAGATCGCCCACAACTTTAATGCCAGGAGCTCACAAAGTAGAATTTTTTGCTCACGAGATTCCACGGCTTAGCAGGAGCATTGGTTGAAACGTGCAGCCTGGCCTACTTTGCAGGGTGGTTGTGGGTTTTTTTTAACAAGAATCCCAGTTGCGCACAGATGCTTACAAGCAGGGGTCGTTCCGTAGAAAAAGAGCTAGGGGAACTCATTAGCATAACTCATTAGCATATGCCACACCCCCTGACATCACCGGAAGTGTGTCATAAGGCCACACCCCCTGACATCACCGGAAGTGTGTCATAAGGCCACACACCCCACCCCCAACGGTTCCGGCTGCCGCCGCAGGCCTTGCAGCTCCACTGCCGAGCCCCATGAGGGGCCCGGCGGTGGACCTGCAAGGCCGGCGGGAGTGCAAGGAAGCCCCGCGAAGGCCCTCCCTGGCCCCAGGCAGGCAGGGGTGGGGAGAGGCAGGGAGGAAGCAACTTACCCTCCCTCTTCTCCTGCCTCCTCCTGGCTGAATGAGGGCCGGAAGCGGGGCGGCCGGAAGCAGGGGGCGGGGCTTCGTCATGTGCCCCGCCCCCGTACCTCACCCGGGGGAACTGAGATCCCCCGCAATCCCCCCCCCGAAATGACCTCTGCTTACAAGCACAGACTGCATCGGGAGGGGGGGCTCTCTTTACCCTCACAGCAGAGTGGGGGTCACCTGTGTCCTCAAGTAATTGACCTCAGTTCATTCACACGTGGTGAAATATTTCATAAAGCTAAGAATGCCACCATTAAGGTGGCAGCTTTCCTTCTTAATTCTGATTTGGGGCCCGCAAAGAGGGCTGCGTGACCCTAATTTTGTGGCAGGCGGGGGGGGACGGGACCACATACTGAGCCACAGAACAGGGCTCCACCTGGTGGTTACCTGCTAGAATTTCAGGCCACTCTAGTGCGGGATCTGCTGCCGATTATACTGATCAGAGCAGACTGTGAAAGGGACTCGGCTTCACCAACTGCTCTTTTCCGGTCTCTGCTCTTTACCCAACTGCAGTTTGCCCGGTATCTGAAGCAGTGAGCGGTGACTCATCCCGTGCCACAAAATCTGTTAGTCCGTAAGGGGCCGTGGTGGCTCAAGTGGTTAAGACGCTGGAGTGCAGACCGGAAGGTCGGTAGTTCAGCAGTTCGAGACCCGAGTGCCGCATGACGGAGTGAGCTCCCGTCTCTGGCCCCAGCTCCTGCCAGCCTAGCAGTTTGAAAGCAAGACATTGCAAGTAGATCAATAGGCACTGCTTCGGTGGGAAGAGAACAGCGTTCCGTGCGCCTCGGCGTCTAGTCATACCGGCCACATGACCACGGGAACATCTTCGGACAGCGCTGGCTCTTCGGCTTGGAAACGGAGATGAGCACCGCAACCCTAGAGTCGGATTCGACTGGCTTTCGAGCAAGGGGAACCTTGACCTTCACAAAAGTGCTACTGGACTCTTGCTCTTTTCTACCACTCTTTTCTTGTCTTTCAGTCTGCAGGTTTTGTTTCGTAAATGAAGGCCGTGTTATCCTAGTGAGTTAGGATGAAAGCCCCTCCACTTTTCTCCCCAAAGGTGGACTCAAAAGTGGCTTATAACCATCTCTCCCCCTCCTCTATTTCATATTCACAACAAACCTGTGACGTAGGTGTACGTGAGACTGGCCTACGGTCACCCAGCAGTCTTCCCTGGCAGAGTGGGGAATTTGAACCCGGGTCCTGATTGGATGCTCTGACCACAGTACCAAAATGCCTCTGTTATTATTCATTAGCCTTTCTCATTGGTGGAATTTAACCACACCAGGATACAGGTTTCTTTATTTGGTTGTTTCTAGGAACTGTGTTTTGTTGCAGGGGGAAATATCGTGCCTGTTAAGAACATAAGAGCAGCCATGTTGGATCAGGCCAGTGGCCCATCCGGTCCAACACTCTGTGTCACACAGTGGCCAAAAATACCAGGTGCCATCAGGAGGTCCAGCAGTGGGGCCAGGACACTAGAAGCCCTCCCACTGTTGCCCCCCCCAAGCACCAAGAATACAGAGCATCCCTTGCCCCAGACATAAGAGCATAAGAGAAGCCATGCTGGATCAGGCCAAGGGCCCATCCAGTCCAGCACTCTGTAATATAGTGTAGTTTGGTGTAGTGGTTAAGTGCGTGGACTGTAATCTGGGAGAACCGGGTTTGATTCCCCACTCCTCCACTCGCACCAGCTGGATGACCTTGGACAAGCCATATTTCTGATAAGAACTGTTCTTGAAAAAGAGCAGTTTCTGTCAAGAGCTCTCTCAGCCCCACCTACTTCCCAGGGTGTCTGTTGTGGGGAGGG